CCCTCTGCTGCCACAACTCAACAAGAATTTGTTCTTTATGGGTATCCCACATACCCTTCTACTTTTTTTTGCCTCCATGGCATTGAAATTTTAGCGCCGCTGGTCGCGTGGATCAATATGTAATTTCATGTTGCAATTTCATTGGCTGCTAGATGCAAGTCGTAGCAGCAAACACACTGTGCGTTGATCATGCTGAATTTCTGACACTGTCAGAAAACTATCGTAGGCTATCTTTGGTCGCAAGACCGGGAAAACGCCCGTCTTTGAACCTCTCTCACTGTACGACATAGGACCACCGATTAAGAGCCACGATCACAGAAATCGCCACGATTGCTTCACGATGGCAATCTTTCGTCTGGGACAGCCAAAAATCGTGCAGTGTATCCCGGGCTTACATGCTTGTCGTACCCAAGTTTAAACGATCCATGTCGCACAGTGTGATAAAGTAATGATCTTATAGGATTGCTAAAATTGTGCAGTGTATCCCGGGCTTAAAAGGCACTTTATTGAGCTATACTTAGCACGACATACAATGCTACACATATCTAAAAGGCTTTTAGCATCAGTTTTTATTTCAATTAAGTTTGCTTTGTTGAGTTTTGTAAATTAATAGTAATCCCTGTATTTACTCACTGGTGCTGTCAACGGATGTACAAACACAATGTCATGAGGACATGTCAAACGTGCCCATATATGGCACTGCTTTCACCTGATGTTTTATCAGTGCTCAGTTTTATCAGTGCCCCTGACCCTGCCCTCGCCCCCGCCACCGCCCCTCCCGTATTAGATTAGGCAGTGTGACTGGCATTTAAACTTTATTTCCTTATGATTCCCATGATAGCTGTAATGCACAAACAGATCAATTATCCATCATGTTGTGGACATGTGAATACTTTCTTTTTAAGAATCATGAAGACTTTCAACATTTTGTATAACATGGATTTATGAACTAAGAGTGGGTGCATGCGTGTTTGTTTTTGCAAATGTTCTTCTTTTTGTGAGGACACACCTCAAATATGTCCCAAATGAGTTATGACTGGACCACCCGCTTGTTTTGTCATGTCTCCATTATAACTTTACAGCAATCGTTTTACAATCCTCCGCAAGGGTAGAGGATCTGGCAACCCACAGCACAGATTACATCAGTGTTTCTCAACCCTGGTCCTGGGCGCCCCCCAGCACTGCACATTTTGTGTGTCTCCCTAATCAAACACACCTGATTCAACTCATTAGCTCATTAAAAGAAACTCCAGGACCTGAAATGGGTGTCAGATAAGGGAGACATACAAAATGTGCAGTGTTGGGGGGCGCTCAGGACCAGGGTTGAGAAACACTGGATTACATTATGTTTAGGAAAAATGATTAAAATCTTTTAGAATGATCACACACACCCTGAATAGGAAAGAGAGCAACAATGCCATAAAAAATTATTTAAATTCATTCAATGGTTGTACGCTATTAAATATTGGTAACATATAAGTTTCCATTTGTTAAGATTAGAATACATTAGTTAACAGGAACTAACAATGAAATATGCTTCTAAATAATTTATTATTCTTAGATAATGTTAATTTCTACATTCACCAATACATTGTTGAAATCAAAAGTTGTATATGTTAATATTATTTAATGGACCAGAGCTATAATGAACTAACAATGAACAGTTTTTAAAACTAACGTTAAAAAAATATTAATAAATACTCATTGTTAGTTAATGTAAGTTAATGCATTAATTATCATTAACTAACTCATTTTACTTCATGTAAAATACCTAAATATTCCAAAGTCACTACATTATGATTAAAATTATGAATAATTCCATTAGAGTACCATACAAGAAGAGTCTAATTGAAAGTATTCATAAAATAAATGAATAAATACAACTAAATACCTTCATAAAACAGTTCTACTTCATTCATAATTGAGTTTATGGCCTCTTTAAAAACTGATACAGCAAAAAGGATAATTTTCTGTATGGGTAAATAGACAATAGCAAACTGAGAGCCTGTGATTGTGAAATGGGCTCAACAACATTGATGTACATTCTTTCACATCAAATTCCTGTGCCCTTCCAGCCTCAAACAAACACATTCTGACACAATAGATAAGGGAGGATCGCCACAGCCAGACACTCTCACAAACTAGCTTTGCTTTACTCAGACTGTTTATGAAATCTTAAAGTTTCCACAGAATATATTTATGGGAAAATGCCTTTCGATAAACAAAAGGTCAGTTTGTCCTGTATTTGAAAATACACATCAAAGCCTTTATACCACTCTGACATATTTTTGAGCAGCTTAAATCTCTTGAGTATTTCCAAAGTTAGCAATTTAGTCGTTTTTCTTTCTGTCGGACTAAAACTAAAATACAACTTACAAACCAAAAATAAATCCTTCAGGAGTGTGGGCACAGTATCAGCTTTCTCATCTGAAACTCATCTTTGTGAAACTTATTTTAAACAGGTATGGGTCTAATCCATGCAAATGGTTTTAAAACTACAGGGGGTCCAGATAGGTTTCAGTGATTAGCTCATTTCTTTGTCCATACATGTGTGTGTACTCAGGAGCTAGACTAATTGTTCCTTTGTTCACACATCCTTTTACAGGCGTGGCAGTCAGGAAAATCCTTTTGGTGATTGGATATCACAACTAGAAAATCGTGATAGGCTAAACCTATTCTCTCTGTTCATTTTTGCCAGTTTTTCCAGTGCACTGGTTAAGAGAGAAAGATGAGAAAGATAAGAAAGATAAGAAAGACTGCCTGCTGCAACACGAAAAGCTTTCTTCATTTACAGTATGTGCAGCAAAACAATAAAAAAATTAGTCGACAAATTGCAAAATATAATGATTTCTCAATATGAGTGTCTAAGAGGTTTGGATTCTCTGGAAGCAAGTTACTCAATAGAGCTTGTAAATTTCATCCTACATTATATTTTTTTAAATAACAAAAATAACAGTTGTGTGACTAAGTGGTAGTACCACTTTACAATAACTGTTAACATTAATTAATGCATTAGGTATCACAAACTAACAATCTGCTCAGTTTTGCAGGATTTACTCATGCTGATGTATAAAAACTTAAGTTGTTCTTTTTTGTTTAAGCATATCTGTATATCAGAGATGTTTCATGCTCATATTACATCATATTTTGTTAATAATAAGACTGCATGTTCTTTTGATACAAAAAAAACTCTAAAAAAGATTGAGATGTGAAGAACATTTCACTCTAATTTCAGAGAGGTAAAATGGAGCCACTTGTAATAACAAACTTCTTAAAGGAATCCAGTCACAGAACCCACAGAACCACACTCTAGACATGGAGGAATGTGATTGGCTGAAGGGAGGGGCTTGTGGGCAGGACTTCTATGAGCAGTTTGTTCATAAAGCCTGAGAGTGTCCCTCATGCCCTGTGCACTCTTCTGGCTGAGTTACTGAGCTCTACCTCTCTCCAGGCCTTCAATCACTCATCTGTTCATTCACTTCAGCGACCATGAGTTTGAGAACAAGCTACAGTGTGCGTTCCTCCACCTCCCAGGTGCCGGTGTCCCAGATGTCCATCAAGCGTACCACCAATGTGCCAACATACCGGGCTGCGAGCATCTACGGTGGCGCCGGAGGTCAAGGAACCCGAATCTCCTCTGCCTCCTACTCAGGTGTCCGCAGTGGTGTGGGATTCCCCTCAATGTCCAGCTCCATCCAAGTGAGTGCCACTGGAGCCACAGGTGAGATCATGGGCAATGAGAAGATGGCCATGCAGAAGTGGTAGTACCACTTTACAATAACTGTTAACATTAATTAATGCATTAGGTATCACAAACTAACAATCTGCTCAGTTTTGCAGGATTTACTCATGCTGATGTATAAAAACTTAAGTTGTTCTTTTTTGTTTAAGCATATCTGTATATCAGAGATGTTTCATGCTCATATTACATCATATTTTGTTAATAATAAGACTGCATGTTCTTTTGATACAAAAAAACTCTAAAAAAGATTGAGATGTGAAGAACATTTCACTCTAATTTCAGAGAGGTAAAATGGAGCCACTTGTAATAACAAACTTCTTAAAGGAATCCAGTCACAGAACCCACAGAACCACACTCTAGACATGGAGGAATGTGATTGGCTGAAGGGAGGGGCTTGTGGGCAGGACTTCTATGAGCAGTTTGTTCATAAAGCCTGAGAGTGTCCCTCATGCCCTGTGCACTCTTCTGGCTGTGTTACTGAGCTCTACCTCTCTCCAGGCCTTCAATCACTCATCTGTTCATTCACTTCAGCGACCATGAGTTTGAGAACAAGCTACAGTGTGCGTTCCTCCACCTCCCAGGTGCCGGTGTCCCAGATGTCCATCAAGCGTACCACCAATGTGCCAACATACCGGGCTGCGAGCATCTACGGTGGCGCCGGAGGTCAAGGAACCCGAATCTCCTCTGCCTCCTACTCAGGTGTCCGCAGTGGTGTGGGATTCCCCTCAATGTCCAGCTCCATCCAAGTGAGTGCCACTGGAGCCACAGGTGAGATCATGGGCAATGAGAAGATGGCCATGCAGAACTTGAATGACCGTCTGGCCTCCTACCTGGAGAAAGTGAGGATCCTGGAGCAGGCCAACAGCAAGCTGGAGCTGAAGATCCGTGAGGCCCTGGAGAAGAAAGGTCCTGATGTCCACGACTACAGCCGCTTCCAGCCCATCGTTGACGATCTGCGCAAGAAGGTGAGTTTGAATGAGTTTGAATAGGAGAAAGGTAAAGAAAATGTATAAAGAACTTAATGTGACAGTCTAATTGTGCTGCTTTGTGTTTATTAACAGTCTAGTGGACATTTATTGGGTTTCAGGACAGAAACTAACAAAACAGAGGCATTCCTTTGTCATTTAAAGCTTGAAAGAGCTGAATGAGAGTTTACTGATGGCCAGCACTGATAGGCAAAGAACCAAAAAATAAACCATGGGTGAAACCAAAAACAGGGGGAAGGCATGGGGGAGGGAGGCTCAGTCTCTGCGGGACGGCAGTCGTAACTTCTGCTTACAGCCGGTATTCCGGTGAATAAGCGTTTCCATCCTGTATTTATTCTTGTCCTGTTACACATCAGGATGCTTGTTTATTCCCTGTGGATGGAAACTCTGGGATCTGAGATGTTTCAGCATCTGTCTGTGTCATAAGGGAAATGGAAAAGTCGAGAGAGTTCAGACAGTGCAAAATGCGACCAGCTGTGAGACTTTGGCAGAGATATTCCTAACAAAGCTAGCTTCATTCATAGCTACATTTATATAGTCCTATTCTATATTTTCTTGAAAAGAAGTTCATAAAGCAGATGCTGTTAATGATAAAATACCGATTGGAGTCAGTTTCACACCAATAGTATCTTGAAGCTGAAATTTAAAGCTGATATGTCACTGATAACCAGATAGTGTTATCAGAATGATTGTCTTTTCTTTCATCAGTGACTATGCAGTAAAGTGACAGGTAGATTAAATTAAAAGAATTAAAGTCCTATGCATCAGGGTTTCTTACAGTCACAAAAGTAAATGGGATTAGCTGTGAGATTAGCCTGTGGAAAAGAGCACTGAAAGGAATATTTCAGTTTAAAAGCTCAGTGAAGTATACAATATACATAATACAATATAACTTATTTATTTAAATTAAAACATAAAACACATTTAATTAGGACTATTGTTAGTAGTTACACAGCCAACACTCATTAGCATATGGAAAATATGTGGCGTTAAACTGTTAAAGTATTATATGTCTCCACCCTTTTCCATGATGCCAGGAAATGCTGGCTTGCAAACATGAAAAGCATTTACAAAATAGCACATTAGGAATTAGCAAAAAAACAGGAAATCCAGCTTAACCCTTGCTCTTCCTGCTATACAATTTAATTTACAACCATTAAACAGACACCAGCTGCTTTTCCAACATTGCTGTTGGTTAATGATTATCTAACAAACTGTGAAATGAACTTTGTCCTCCAGTACCTCTTATCTAAGCAAACTAAAACATTAGAGCAGAAGATGGTACTGCAGCTTGGTATACAGTGACCATGAGATTTACACATTATACATCACCCTAAAACATTTGTAAAACAGTTAAAGTTAGGTGAGGTTTTATGTGTCATAACTGCGCATTGCATTGTTCAGTGGTGGTTTCCTGACTGATTCAATTAAGTGATTTCTGTTTTGGTTATAGATCTTTGATGCCACCGCAAACAATACCCGTCTGGTGCTCCAGATTGATAACGCCCGCCTGGCAGCTGATGACTTCAGAGTCAAGTGAGTTAACAAAACTGCGAAACATAACACATATTTTGACCTCATGGGAACATTCCTAGTTTCCTAGAAGAGTGAACCATTGACCTTTGTTGTGCCTGCAGGTATGAATCTGAGCTGTCCATCCGCCAAGGTGTGGAGGCTGACATTGCTGGCCTGAGAAAGGTCATTGATGACACCAACATGAACCGCATGAACCTTGAAAGTGAGATTGAGGCCCTCAAGGAAGAGCTCATCTTCCTTAAGAAGAACCATGACAATGTGAGTGCACATCTGGCACATTTGTACATTAACACAGCTGGAAACATCTGTCTTCCTCATAATCCATTATGGGTGTTGCTTTAAGATTTTATGGTTTCTCCACCCAACAGGAGGTAATGGAGCTTCGTAACCAGATCTCCCAGTCAGGAGTGCAGGTGGATGTTGATGCCCCTAAAGGACAAGATCTGGCCCAGATCATGGAGGAGATAAGAGCCAAGTACGAGAAGATGGCTCTCAAGAACCAGGAGGAGCTGAAGGCCTGGCACGAATCTCAGGTATATTCCAAAAGATCATTCTTTTCTCAAAATCAAGTCTTGTTAAACACTGTTGCACGTCGATACCACTGTTTTGCGACTAAAGTGAAATGTTATGCTCTCTCCAGATCACAGAGATTCATGTACAAGTCACACAGAACACAGAGGCCCTCCAGGGTGCACGTACAGAAGTCAACGAACTTCGCAGACAAATTCAGACATTGGAGATCGAGCTGGAGTCACAGAAGAACCTGGTGAGTTTGTTTTCTTGTAGCCATTGTAGAAGCTGCAATTTCCAACTGGTCTTTACAATCCTTTTTATTAAATTAGCTGTATTCAAGTATCATGTCTTGAATTTGTCTCAAGACTTGTTCTCAATGAAGTCTGCTCAAACTCTTGGGTTCTCTTTGTTTGATTGTCCAGAAAGGATCACTGGAGGCCACTCTGCGAGACACAGAAATGCGCTACAACATGGAGATTGAGAGTCTCAATGCTGTCGTTATGCAACTGGAGGCTGAACTCACACAACTGCGCAACAACATCCAGCAACAGACGCATGATTACGAGGTTCTGCTGAACATCAAGATGAAGCTGGAGGCAGAAATTGCCACCTACAGGAGGCTTCTGGATGGTGGGGACTTCAAGTAAGTTTTCTTCTGAAGCATACAGAGATTTTTTCACAGCACTTCACCATTTGTGTAGGCATGTCCTGTGGTTTTTTAACTTTGTGACTAGGTTTGCTAGAGTATTTGTTTTGTGTGGTTGGTAACAAGTATGTTTTCTCCTGCAGGCTCCAGGATGCTCTTGAAGAGCAAAAGAAGGTGAAAGTAATGACGGTCACACAGACGCTGGTGGATGGGAAGGTGGTGTCTTCAAGCTCAGAAACCAAGGAGAGGAAACTTTGAACATCAAATTTCAGATCAACCTCCACGACACATCAGAAAAACCTAATGGGCCAATGATAAAATGATCTAAAGACAGGTTGGACTTAACACATTAGATATTTATTTAGTCCAAGATACAATTTGCAATGAGATTTAACTAGCAAATTTCAACACTAACTTAAAACAAAAAATCTTAATGTTTTTTTTTTTTTACATTTTAATAACTACAACCAAAAAAGACTGAAGGTCAAAAAACACTATTGAACTTTATTAAATATTTTTGAAATGACGATGATTGTTTACGATCATCAATTGTCCCATTTTGGTTTTATGTCATGTTGTTGTCATGATGTCTTGTCCTTTCAAATAAAAGACACTTTCATCAAATCTTTGCATTCTGCTTGTCATTAATGTTTTTTGACAATATTCCAGTCAGTCTGATCAAAGGTAGTTTTGGGCCTCAAGTGTCATCATTCTTGGCACCCATTTTTAGGGGGGAAAAAAGCCCTTAAGTTGCATAATTAAACCAAATAGAATTTATTTTTCAAAATATCATATAATTTCAAACAATTTTCATAAATATAATGTAATTTAATCAAAATATATAATTGGTGGCTATGTGAACATTGGATAAAAAAATTTAAAATAAATCTGAAGAACTAACTAAATGCTACTTATGTCTTCACAAAAAACAAGAAAGGAAGACACATTCTATAACGGACTATTAAATAATGTTAGTTGTGATGAGACCTTTTGTTGTGGAAGTCGGTATCTTTAATATTTATTTCAGCCACTGTGACTTGTGAGAGTTATTCATAGCTATCGTGAGAACAGAACAAGGGGCTTGATTTTGTTAAATTATTCATGCAGACAGCATGAGCTCCTGTAAGATGTTTTTTGAACGGAATGATTTTATACAGTTAGTCCATGTTAGGACTTATCTAAAATAAATTAAAATTAATTCTAAAAGACATATTACTGAAAAAATACCAAATGAGGTCAGTTGAATAGTTAAAGGGTATAGTTCACCCAAAAATTTTAATTGTCATCATTTACTCATAAATTTTACAAATTTCTTCCTTCTTCAAAACGCAAAAGAATATAATTTGAACTGTGTTTGTCCATGCATTAGCCGCTTTTCCACACTCGGGCCAGTGCGAGCCAGTGCTTTAAACGGGCTGGGCGGGGCTAATAGCCTCAGACCTGTAGCACCGAGGCCAAAATCATGCTGCGTTTCCACCGTCGGGCCAGAAGCTCTGCTGTACTTCACTAAAACCCGCCCTTTACACGCCTCTCAGGAACAACGTCACGCAACCCCATCATTTCACCAACAAAGAGAAGTTATCAGAAAACTAATAAGAAATAAGTCACTAGAACTAACGCGATCACAAAACAAACTGTTTGTTTGCATGCTTTGTTAAAGATTTAAATCCAAAAGCATCAATGTTTTACAATAATAAGTGATACATTGATCATAATTAATTAATTTATCAGGATTGAAAATTAGTCACACAGAAATAAAGTGGTATGAACATAGCCTACCTACTTATTCAGTCGAATCCGTTTCTGTTTATTTGTAGTCACAGTATATACATTTAGAAAGAATGATAATTTCTATATTTTTATAAAAGCTCCCGAACAAAAAATATTATTATATTTTTATGACATACGCTGATCTAAACTCTCGAGACGGGACTTATGACAGATAAAATATGTTACTAAATAAATACACGATTGTGATAGAGAATTAGAAGCTGACATCTGATTTCTTCAAGCGGTCGTATTTATGTTTACTATGGTAACGTTAATGGCTAGCGTGCACAGTCTTTTGCATTGCTTATAAATATTTCTGCCTTGTATGGAGATCATAATACACTTTGGATCAAGTTATTTCAAACACTCGCTGCTGTCTGAAAGTGAGTTTTGAACTAAACTTATTTTAAAAGTCTTTAATGCTGGTGTTATAGCTGTTAACTTTATGAAATGATCCACGGCGCTAACGCTCTCCAGATGCGTAGAAACGCCGCCTTTGTTCATAACCACCCCTCTAGCCCCAGCCGGCCCGCTTTGGCCCAAGGTTTTCGTCAGCCCAAAAAAACGTTGGCCCAGAGGAAGCACCGACGAGGCACGATCAAGTCCCGGAAGTGACAGTGGAAACGCGACTGGCCCTGGCACGCACTAGCACGCCCGCTTTTGGCCCGACAGTGGAAACGCGGCTAATGAACATCAATGGGTTCCAAAATAGCACTCTTTAGTCCAAAGTTTCTTTCTATATATCTCACAAATATGAGGGGGCCCACAATATAACCCTGTGAAACCTCAAATTTAACTGACTTTCACTGTACGGACAAAACAAACAAACAAAGAAACACATTTTTCTAAATATCTTCTTTTGTGCCCCACATAAAAAAGAAATTCATAAAAGTTTCATTACCGAGTTAATACTTCTGTACCAAAACACTAAACAGTGGGTGGGGTGGAAGTCCAGAGTCTAAAGATAACAGAAATGTGCCTACTACTTGTGAACTGCAAAACCATAAAAATCTCATACCTCTTAGAACCAGCGGTTACATCTGATCTCCTTTTCATTAAAGATCTCTTCTCTGCAGAAAACTAAGCAAAATGCAAACCTTCAGCATTCAGAACAAAAGAATATATAGATCGTCCTCAGAGGATCTCAGCATGCTAAGACCCACATTTTACTCTTGGAGAAGTGCTGGGAATAGGGGTTCCTATTCCAAGGATATCTTTGGATCTGCCACTGTACAAATGGGGCTTGTTGGAAATGTTGGAAGTGAAAAGGTTACCATGCAAATCCTGAATGAACGTCTAGCTTCGTACCTGGAGAAAGTTAGGAGCTTGGAGAAGGCCAATAGTGAGCTGGAGGTGAAAATCCACCAGGTTCTGGTGAAAAAAGGTCCAGCCACTAAGGACTACAGTCACTACCAAGCCACCTTTGAGAAACTACGCAAAGAGGTAACTGGAACTTCTGTCCACTGCAATACTTGTCTTTAACAATTTTGTCCTGTGCAGTATCTTAATATGCATAATTATTTATTTTTGCTTAAATTTTTATTAGACAGTAATGTTTGCACATTACTATAGTGTGAAGTAATGAAAGGGTTGCAGGTTCATGCTCAGAAACTGGACTTTGACTGTGCCCTTGAGTAAGGCATGTAATTAATTCTTGAGAAGCGGCTTCTCTATAGTGGCCTTAGATAATAAACTAACAATAGACTGTATTGTACCTTTTTTGGTTATGTCCATTTAGATTCTGGAGATGGTTATGAGCAATGCAAATGTGAGTCTTCAAATTGACAATGCCAAGTTGGCTGCCGATGACTACAGGGTCAAGTAAGCTAGTTTTAAAGACTCCATGAAATCAAACAATATTTTGCGGGTTTTATTCCATGTGTATTAGCTTCGAGCCCATCTATATGTCAAGAACTATATGCAAGCTGGACAATATAAACTTGTTGCAGATATATACATTTCCAGGAAAATGAACCAAACATATCAATGATTCATCTTGGGTCCAATTTTTGTCCAGTGACTAAACTGAGAACGTCCCTCCCCATAATGCAACATGCAACTGACTAGCAATATTAAGAAACAATCATTCCCATTAATGTTATGTGTTTATAGGTATGAAAATGAACTGCAGCTAAGACAGTATGTTGAAGCTGACATAAATGCATTGAGAAAGATGCTGGATGACACAAATATGGCACGACTGCATCTAGAAAATGATGTTGAAGGATTGAAAGTGGAGCTTATCGAGTTAAAGAAACGACATCACCTGGTAAGTACATTATTATACTACACATAAATAAAAATATATATTTAATTACAATAGATCACAATGCTGACTTGCTCAGAGAGTGCAGTAGCTCACAATCAGGAGAGGGCCAAAGATATAACCCTGTGGAACCTCAAATCTCACATTTTTCAGGAAGTGTCAGAACTATATAGTCAAATCAACCAATCAGGAGTGCAGGTGGATGTTGATGCTCCCAAGGGACAGGACTTGGCTAAGATCATGGAGGAGATAAGAGCCAAGTATGAAAAGATTGCCCTAAAGAACCAGGAGGAACTGAAAATTTGGCATGAATCAAAAGTGGGGCATCATTTCTCATTGAAAATGTTACACATTATTTCTGTTTTTAAGACAACAGAGAATTACATTTATTTCTTTTTTTTGCACAGATCTCCATGGTACAGGTTCAAGTGAGTGAGAATGAGGAAGCATTGAAAGAAGCCAAAACACAAGTCAGCGTGAGCCACAGGCAGATGCAGACTTTGAAAACAGAGCTGCAGTCTCTGATTGGAAGTGTAAGAGATTCTACCCTGACACCTTGATGCAGCTCTCCACTTTTGATCATTACTTATGAGCATTTATTTATCTATTTATTTATTTTTGACTTTTCTTACAGAGAGCATCTCTGGAAGACGCCCTTAATGAAACAAAGTTGCGATATGGGATGCAGGTGGAGCAATATAATGGCATCATTTTGCTGAGAGAGTCTGAGCTTAAACAGCTGCGTGACAACATTCAAAGTCAGACAGTGGAGTATCAGGCCCTGTTCAACATCAAGATGGAGCTGGAAGCTGAGATAGCCACCTACAGGAGACTTCTGGATGGAGAAGAATAAGAGTGAGCTTTTCGACCATTTTGACCATGCCTCTTTCTTCTTTAGAAACCTTCATCTTGGTGTTAATAAAATATTTTACAGATTAGAGAAAGAATCCATCAGGACAACATCAGAGACAACATCTAGTGGATGAAAAAATAGTGTCCTCCAGCTCGAGTACTCTCAAAAAGTGATATAAACAAACATGAGATCACTAATGTTCATGAAAGACAACAGCACAAGTAAAACCACTATGAATATTTTGAATAAATTATAATTAAAACTATTTCAGTAGTATTTCCTTTGAATCAGAATTTGAACACGGTATTGGAAAGTAACACTCTTAATTGAACCCATACAGTGTATCTCAACTCAAACTCTGTTGTTTTAGCAATGTCAAAGTTTCATTTTCATGTCATGAAAATGAAATTGGACCCTTAGGATCTAATAGGCATTTTCAAAATGTCATCACAGTAAAAGAAAACAGTAAGTGGTGTCAGGTTTCATAAAAAACTTTCCAACAGTCATTCATAATGAAAGAGCAAAATGAAAACAAAATGAAGGTCTTATTTTGTACTTCAAACTAACAACAAATCAGCCTATTGACAATAAATATATAAACTATGCTCCCTTGTCATGACAGGTCTACTTTTTGTGGTTGATTACACTAATCTTAAAGATTTTTTCCTAGCAAGTTGTAAAAAGAAATAAGTGATTACCCTTATCTTTTTGGAGCAAACACTTGACAGGTAATCTTTCCTGGAAATCTGTCTAAGTGACAAATGTAAACTGTCAAAATAAACAATGTTCATTCTTGGAACCTATCAGCATCTTGCCTGCTAGGCATGGTGGGTCAGATTTCCATGGTAGCGTTTTAGGAGAAACACAGAGAACAATTGTGATGTGTTTAGCAGTTAGGCATGAGGCTTATTATCCATTGGAATCTCAATCTCCCAATTTCACAATCACTATACAAATATATTTTGTTTTTTAGTTTTTTGTAAGATTTTTCCTACTGAAGTAATTAGCATAGCAGGGTGGTATTACCAATACTGTGTGGTACTGCAATCAGTACTAAGAAACCCCCATCAGAAACCCAGGCTTAATGCCATGTTTTCTTATTTTTAAGTTAAATACCCACTTTTTTACACATTTTTGGGCATGTTAGTATCAGTTTTATACAAATATTTGGAGGCAAACCTCATGAACTGACTTGAAAATGAAACTACCAAGTGGCAGTGAACAGTGACTAAGTATAGAATGTTCTACTGCGGGCCTCTAAAAGCGGGAATTTGCGGCTAACTGTGAAGCACTGTTTCCACTCAAATCCTCCTTCGTCACGGCTGGAGAAGCCTATTCAGAGGAAAAGATGGTTGGTTTTCAGATGACGATGTCAACGCAGACATTTGTGGATGGAAAAGTGGCGCTGGACTGCAAAATGATTCATGCAGGCCAAAATGAGCCAGATTAAGTTTCTGCGGAGTTACAACGTATACAAGAGCTTCTTCAAATTTGCATCAATAGAGTATTAAAAAAGCTGTCTAAGCCTAGAGTTTTAAAAATAGTTAGCTTAATTTACATGCACAGAGTGTAGGGCAATTATTTGTACTTCAATGCACTGATGTCCTTCTTTTCAATGCCGTATTAAATAGATGAAAGAAAAAGACTTTGCTAAGGTCACTCACATGTGGGACAAGAATCCCATTGCTGTGCTGCCCACACAACTCATTTGATCCTATCCAGACAGTTACACAAAACGCTTTTGTTGCCTCTATATTTCAGCAATTGAACAATACATTATATAATCAAAGCCAGTATAGTCATGGTATAGACATACTTCAGTGTGTTAAAATCTTGGTACCCACTCTGTACAGTAACACGACTTTGGTTTTTTTTCCCTTTTGGATTAGTCATTTTAATTGCACATCCTCCGTTTTCCCATAATTCTGGGAAGGTCCTGCATTCCTGCTGAACAGTGACTCACTTCTACACATCAATATTTGTTTTTTATGCTTCCCAGGGTGCATGGAATGCACGTAAGTGCCCTTGTTTGGGTATTTTCTATTTCCTTCACGCCCCCTTAGATTTTCAAAATGGTCATTGCATAAATTAGCTCTTGGAGACTTGTGCTACAAATTAACTGGGTAGTTTACATTTTTTATGGAAACTGTGGTGCTTGGCCATGCAAAACTAGGTGCTAGTTTGTTGTGATGTCCTTATTTTCTTATTGTTTATTGGTAATGGTGTTCAAACATATTGCTATATCGTTCCTAAGACATTTAGTTGGTTGCTAGGGATTTTGGGCGGTTGCTAGCTTGTTTCTTATTATCCCAAGTTAAAAGTACCCACAGCCGAGCCTCTATGTTATTTAATCCCTAAAAATGGCTCTGGTCCTTCATTCAGTATAATTCAAGGAGATTTTTTTTCACCCATTTTATTACCCTTAGCAAGCATCACTAATTAAAGATTTGATTTCACAAGACCCCTGTTATGAGATATAGCTCAGCTCACACAGCCTGTCACTTAAAGTTTCAACAGTCTCCCATATTTGACTTTCCTTCCAACATACTTATACCTAGAAAAGGCTCCTGTTAAAAGAAGGAAACAACAGCAGGATATGGAAAGAGTTCATAGCAGAAACAATAACGAGAGAGAGAAAGTGATATGGTCCTTTGAATCCCACATAACATTCCTCATGTCTGCTCTCCTTGGACCGGAGATTACCTCCAGATATCCCTCACAGGTGCGGCTTTCATAAAACCTGAGCCACACTCCCCCTTCCCGCTCTTGCTCTGAACATATGCTTGCTTTTGTGTAATCGGGGTGGGCAGTACCCCATTCTTCTTCTAAAGCAGATTCTGACGATATAACAATGTTTAAACTATTCTTAAATATGCTAAGTACAGCTATGTGATGATACCCAACTATATATATGCAAACTTCATTTGTTAATGTCTCAGAACAATAATGCAGAATTATAAACAGTATAAAGCGCAGTTATTCAGAAATTTTCTTGATGATCCATGTTTTTTGGGAATTTGGTCTGAAATCTATTGCATCCCATATTATTCACAGTAGTATTTTTGGTACGACAGTGTTTACATAACTGAGCAAGATTTTCAATCTTCCAGACAATTCTCTCAGCCAGTTGTACGATAAGTATCAGGTCTGGGCAACTCGAAATCTCCAAAAAAAAAAAAGTAGATGATGAAAGACCACAAGATGGCCGTTAGATTTTCCTATGTGCGTTTAAGATTCAGAGTGTAATGTGGCAAACAGCATGCAGCCAACCATTTTGACAACCTACGTTTTTAATTTAGGGGGAAAACCCAAAGGAATTTTAACCAGTATAACCATGGCAACCAAAAACAAATCAAAACCAGACTGTGGTGACATGGAAACAAAACTCTGGCCAACGTATACAGGGCAATAAGAGTCAGCATATGCTAGTTTAGAAAGACTGAGCTCATTCAGTGAGCTATATATAAAACGGAAGTGGGAGGAGCCCTTCAGCCTAAATTACACATCATTCAAAATACACTTCATTTTCTTGAGATTATTATACAGCATTTTAGTAACCACACTCAAGGGAGTTGACAGTTACAAAACAAAATCACTGGGATGCACAGATGTCGGCTCTTGATTTGTATTCTTAGCTATAAGCTGAATTATCACAAGAACACAAAATACCCTTTTCTCATTTGGCTTGCAAAGAAAATAAATGGAAATAGAAATAAATACACTGAAAAAAAACTAAAATTAAAAAACAAAATGCTAGTAAATTTCACAGATAATTCCAAAGAAGTGACAAGTAACACTTTGAATAAAACTTTAAAAAATAAATGAAACAAATATTTTTAAATATTTGAAGGATTCTTGATTCTTGAGTTTTTTCAAATATAAATGTTACACCTAAATATATTACTACTTTTTATTTCTACTTTTATTAAGACTAAAGCACCATTCACAGCAATAACGATAACTATAAAGATAACTATAAAGATATTAGCGTCCACACCAGCGAACGATATCGTCTGCCGCTTTTAATTCTCAAGTTCGTTATAGCAGGATTGATTCTGATTGGCTGCCAATTTTTTATCGTTCATTAGCTGGAAAAAAATCATTTTGAAAGTGATTCCAACGATATCGTTTCTCTTTGTCTTTATCGTTATAGCTGTGGTGTGGACTCTGCTATTCTTTAATATTGAGAACGATTTTTAGAACTTAATCTTTATCGTTATCTTTATAGTTATCGTCCTTGGTGTGAACGGGCCTTAATACTTGCACATACATGCAAACAGACAACACAGGTTACTCCAAACTTTGAAAGCAATCAATGAATGGGCTTTAAATAAAACAGGTTAGCGAGAGGTCACCATGAAATCAGTGTCTTAAGTGGCCAGTTTGACCAGCTTCCTGTCGTCATCATATACAGCTGCATAATTTTAAACCAATTTAGAAGAGCGCTGTACAAATAATGCTCATTTGAAGAGAACTGAATGGACCGTCCACATGTCTATTGTACCCCAATTAAAGCTGCATAGTCTACCTACACGCCCTAAACAAAAAGCTGAGCTCTTTCTTAATGTTTTGTACAGCCCAGGAAATCTCTAAATAACTAGGTGTTTGCAAAGGCATGCAACACTGTTTACTATAGCTCATACTTAGCGGTTAGGCATTCAGACCTAACTCAAATTTACTTCAGAAAATATCTATATATTAAAAAAAATTAATACTGCTCCTGGGTCAAAAAATATATAGTTTTACAAAAAACCAAGATAAAAATATTCCACTTTCCAGGCTTATGTTTGTACAGCACTTGATTCTTCTTATTATGACCATTTAGAGAGTAAAAAAGGAAGAGTTTAGCAGAGAAATGTATGGCCACAGAGTCAACAATGTGAAAGGATTGAGAGATTTAAATAATATTAAAAATATATAGTTCAGTCATGAAACTCTAGATGGTGCAGGCTGACGGGGTGTTAACGTAACCGATGATATTCAGAGAGTTAAACGACTTGGCACAAGCTGATTGGTTCATGCTGCATATGCAGCCAATGAGCTCACTGCCTTGCATTTATATGGCTGGCTAGCATTCACTAGAGATTCCTGCAGCGCGCTTTCAGAGTTTCTCTGAAACCCTCCACCTTCCCCAGCTCCACCTGTATAGATCTGCTATGGGTTTTTTTATATGCTATTTGTGCAGCAGCAGTATGTCTTAAATACTTACAGCACCATATCGCTGTATGCATTGGCAGTAGCAAGTTCCTGTACTTGCTTGCAGCAGCAGCAGCAATAATCTACAACTACAGCAATAACCAACAACAGCAGCAGCGTAGCAGATCTATTCCGCCAAGACCAAATACATTAACATTGTCATATCCATCACCATGTTAAAATGTTCAGAGAGTTGTCATGATTGAACTTAATTTATTTCATAAGACATCTGACAAACAGGCATTCATCAGTCAGATCTGCTCCTTTCTGTTTATGCCTTCTTCCTGATCTTGTGATTTGCCTTCTTGTGACTGACAAATAATACCGTCATGTAATATGCCTCACCTCTTTCAATATGAAGTTTTAAAAAGCATTAAGATTATGGCATCGCAGTACACTA